CAGCGGCGACACACCAGTCGCCGGGCAGCGGGCTCAACCTCGCAGCTGACGGGGGCGATCACGTCGTTCGGGAGTCTGGAGGCCTCCACCGCGGCCCCAGCAGCGCCTGCGTAGAGCTCGATGAGAGCTATGCGAGGGGGCCACCGCGCACCACGCACAGGAGCCGCAACTGCACCAGGCCGCAAAGTCACTGCTGAAGCTCCCCCCCTCGCGCAGGCAACGCCCCGCGCCGAGAGCCCAGCCGTGTGGCAGATGCCCCCAGCGCGCTCACTGGCATCGGTCGCAATGACACAAGTGTCGATCTTTGCGCGCAGGTCGGTGTATGCCAGCGGCAGCGCCATCGCGGAGTCCGAGAGCTCGTCGCACATGCCAAGGGGAACAGCCTGCGGTCGCGTCCAGCACCCAGCAGCCCCCACGCTGTTGAGGAACCCCACAAAAGGCCTCCTGAACTCCGCTGCCCTGACGCACCTGCCCAGGACCATGAGCATGCCCTGCGTCGAGAGGCCCTGTCTGCCCACGCCCCACAGGATGAGCGCGAGCAACTGGTGCAGCTTCTCGGTCGTGACTCCAACATGGCCGACGGCCCCGTCAAACCCCGCGCCCATCTGCTCCAGGACCAGCGCGCGGTGCTTGACCTTGCCGGGGGCGACGCTGGTCCCCGAGCAGCCGTAGGCGGCCCTCTGCTTCTCCGGGGCGCAGCTCACCGCGCCGATGAGCTCCGCGACCATCGCGCTGGGCACCACCTCGCCATGGTCCCAGTCGTCGATGCAGTACTGGACCCACTGCTGCTCGAGCCCCCTCGACTTGAACGGAAGTGGGCGGTCCTTGTGCCACTCGAGATCCGCGGGAAACCCCGCAGCGAGGGGACGAGAGCCGACCCCGAGGCGCCTGTGGCAGTGCTGAAACACCGAGTCCGCGTTGATCCAGCCCAACGGGAAGACGAGCAGCGCGAGGTGTGTCTTCCCTGGACCCGGCACACCGATGAGCTCGCTCGGGATCGCCTCCGCGAGGGCCATGCATGGCTGCCAAGCCTCGGGCAGCTCGCAGCCGTAGAAAGCGGAGGCCCGGTCATCTGAGGACCCGAGCAGCATGTGGCCCTCTGGGAGCGGGACGGCGACCCACGAGGGCGATGCACTTAGGGTCCCAATGTCGTCCCTCATGATGCGCTGGTAGCTGTCGGCCGGGACCATGTTGATGATCAGGCGCTGGACGCACGCCTGGCCGGGTGACCGCGTGCCGCCCTTGGCGTCCCCGAACGCCTCAGCGAGCACCCTGCGGCTCCCGACCTTGAAGATGCGGTCGTCGGCGATCGACGCAGCCAGCCCCAGCTCGACGAGCTTGGTCCAGATGCGGTACCACTCCTGCTTGGACGTGACCTGGATCGCCGCCCGCGGGACCTCGGCAGGCGACTCATCCCGAGGGAGCAAAGCCAGCGTGGGGCCGGCAAGCCAGGCGCCCGCCTGAGCGTCCGCGAGGTCGACCGCCTTGACCGATGCGGGGACGCCCTGCGCGGGGAGGCCTGGCATGTAGCCTGCAAGCGAGAGCGGCGGGGCGCGGGACGTCACCTCGCCCCCGTGGGAGTCGGTCTTCGACGCGATGACCTGGTCCCAGTCCGGGAGCTCGAACGCTGCGGCAGCATCCTGAACGAAGTTCACACACACCTCCTGCACAATGCCGAGCGCACTGATCTGACCTGCCGTGGGCCGCCTCGCGGCGACGGTTGGACAACGCATGTGCCCCATGTACGGGTAGTTCAGGCTGAAGTCCACGAGCAGGGCCCACCCCTGCGCCGTGGCGGCGTCCACCTCGCAGGTCTCCGGCAACTGCTGGTGCAAGTACCAGGCGGCACGGTGCCTCTCGAAGAGTGGGGCGTCGGGCAACGGTAACGGCGACACCTCGCGCAGCCGCGCGAAGCTGGCCGTGGGGTCTGGCGAAGTGCACATCTCACAAACATACCGCCCGATCGCCCCTGGCGAACCGTGCACCGCCTCGTGGACCGCGAGGGCGAGCCTGAACTTGGAGCTGACACCTGTGCCCACCTCGGCTGGCATCTGGCGCCACCGCCGAGCCCGCGAGCTGCCGCGCAGCTGCCGCTCAGGCGGGCGGAGGGCAGGCGGGGGCGAGCGCGAGGCCGCGGCCTCTGCAGCGTCAGCCCTCACGCCCGAACCCGGGCTGTCCTGCGAGCAGTGCTCGTGCCGCGGCTCCTCCCCGTCTTGCCTTTGCCGCGGCTCTTGGCAGCCGGCGGCCTCCCAATGTGCGCCTTCCACGCCGCCTGGGTCTCGCCCTCGCGCCTCGGGTGGGCCGCCTTGTGCTGCGCGAAGCTCCGGCCTGCAGCCGCGTCCGCTGGTGGCACGCGGGCGGCGGCTGCTGCGTCGAGGTCCCCCTCGGAGTCGCTCAGGAGCTGGACCGACCGCGTGGGACTGCAGCTGGTCCTCCGCGCTGCTGGCGGCTTCTTCCCGGCGCGGAGAGCTGCTGGACCGTCGCCTGGGTCTCGTCCGGCAAGGATCCTCATCGCCTCGGGCGATCCTGAGACTGGCGTCCCGGGAGCAGGGGGCGGGCGGCGCGCCTCCGCGCGCCCATGGCCTGCAGGTGCCGTCCCCCCCAGCAACGGAGACGGCTCCCGGCCAGGCCCCCAGCCCGGCCTGCGGTCTGCAAGTCGCTGGTGGTGTTCGGCGACCTTCAGCTCCCGGGCCTCGACCTTCTCGGCAGCGTTCACCTCGTCCAGAGAGGTGCCTGACGGAAGCTGTTCCTGCGCGACCAGCGTGAGCCATCGTGCCGATTGCCAGTTTCCGTCGCGGATGGCCATCGACCGCGCCTTGAACTCCAGCACGACCAGATCCGCCGCCTTGATGACCTCCCCGCGCAGGATGCCGTCGAGCGCCAGCCCCGGCGGGCGGAGGTCCCGCCCCTCGACTGACCCCAGCGTCTGCGGCGGGTGAGCATCGAAGAACACCGTGTTCAGGAACTGTGCGACACACGGGGCCCGCAGGTCGGCCTCGCCTGCAGACAACTGCTGAGTGAACTGGCTGCGCAGGTGGCCAAGCCCACTCACGAGGAGAGCGTCGGGCCGCTGTCAAGCAATCCAGCCGAACAAGTCGCGCTTGCTGCTCACGCCCTGGTAGCGGTCGCGGCCCCCAAGGCGCCCTGTGTCGCTCTCCGCGCCGTCCTCCACGTCGTCGTCGGCGCGGTCCAGGAGCGCCGCGGTCACGGCCGATGCTGGCCTGCTCCTCCTTCCCGAGGCGCCAGTGCGCGCTGGGGCAGCAGCGGCGGCTCGGCCAGCAACCTCCTGTGCCAGGCGCTCGCCTACGGCTCCTGCCGGGCGCGCAGCGTTCTTGGGCGTGCCCTGCCTCGGCACACCACGAGCTGCCCTGCCCTCCAGCCGCGCCAGCCGCGCCTCGAGCTCGGGGTCCTCGGCGGTCTCCTCGAGCCCGGCGATCTCCTGGTCGAGTGGGCTCGCCTCTCCTGGACCGCCCGGGGTCTGGGTGCCCTCCACCTCGCGGGCGCACTTGTGCGGAGGCCCGCGAGGCTCCTCCTCGACTTTGTTGCTCCCATCCCCGAGCGGCCAGCCGCCGACCTCTCCAGGCAGTGGCTCGGCCGAGGGCGCGTCGGTCCGCACAGGCGCCCCAGGATTCGCTGCTGGGCAGATGAGCTTCGCCCGCTCGCGGGCCACGCCGCGGGGGTCCACTACCTGCCACACGACCAAGTGCTCGACCACAGCGCCAGCTGGAGCGACCGTCCCGCACTTGTTGGCGCTGCACCTGCAGAGGTGGAAGACCGTGGCCGCGGGGCGTGCGCCCCGCTGCCCGCAGGTGGCCGCCTACCATGAGATGTACGGGTCGCTGGCGCCCACCTGCCGGGCCTTGATGAATCTGCCGAAAGTGTCCGCCTGGTAGGCGACCTCGACCTCGAGCATCTCGACGCCCTGCGGCGCCCCTGCGTCGTCCTAGACCCGCGCCAGGACCCGTGCACCAGCCCTCGGCGGCAGCCCCGCCACCAGCTCGTCGTTCAGCGCCGCGTCGAGCCAGGCTCCTCTCGGGAAGGGCCACCCGCCGGCAGCTGGGGCTGCCCGGTCCATCGGGCTCCTCGCCAGCAACAAAGCGGGAGAGGGGCGACCCGCGCCCGGGATACTCGTCTCCCAGCCAGGTCTTCGCTCCCCTCACCCCACCAAGGCTGCCAGCGAGACTGATCAGAATCAGTCGTCTGAGCGTGGCCCTGCAAGCGGCCGCGCGCGGCGCGGCAGTATTTCAGTAGACAGAGTGGCTCGGCAGCGGCCACAGACGGGCGGCACCGCCCGGTGACTCCGCTGCCTGTCGCAAGCCAACACAGCTACGGAAGATGGATGAAACTCACGTTATCCATCAACGGCGTCGCGCACGCTCAGGTGGACTCCGCATAGGTTTCCTTGGAAGGTTCATATATGTGTGTATGTGTTATTGATTTATACGTGTATTCATTTATGTATGCACTCAGTTACTCATTCATTCATGATGTGTTTAAGTATGTAGTCAGCATTGTGACAATGATTGGTGTCAGTATTATTAGTCGTATTAACATGCTGTTAGTCGTATGATGTTTCGTCGTATTAGTAGTCGTATCTTCAGTATTATGAATAATGTCTTATTGTTAGTACTACAAGTACCATCGTTATTCGTAGGATCCTTACTGTTATGAAGAGTGTTCGTATGTTTTCTATTCGTAGTGCTCTCAGCATTCGTGTTGGTATTATGATTGTTGCTATTGTAATTCGTCTCATCCTTATTCCTCCTCCTCCTCCTCCTCCGTCTCCTCCTCCTCGGCCCTCCCCCTCCCCCTCCCCCCTCCTCCTCCTCCTCCTCCTCCTCTTCTTCTTCTTCTTCCTCCTCCTCCTCCTCCTCCTCTTCCTCCTCCCTCCTCCTCCTCCTCCTCCTCCTCCTCCTACTCCTCCTACTCCTACTCCTAACTCATAATTCCTCCTCCTCTTCCTCCTCCCCCTCCTCCTCCTCCTCTTTGTTTGCGTCGCTCACCTGGCAGGAGGTGCCGTGGCAGTCTCCCATGATCTTGGCAGCATCGTGCCACCACGTGGAGCTCCCCTCTCCTGCCTGGGTGTTCGCACCGAGCTCGTTGCCCAGGCCGTGGAGGTCGTCGTTGTTCTCCCCCGTGGACGGCAGAGTGTACGGGACCTCTGGGGGGACGAGGAACGGCATAAACATTCACTTTGGGAGGGCCGCGCGGATTTCCTGGATCCGAGCTACCCCCCCTCCCTTCTTGGCGCGCGGAGCGCGCCAGGGGCGGCGCCGGAGGCGCCGCCAGGGGGTCGGGCGCAGATCCAAGGATCCAAGAAATCCGCCCGGAACTCCGAAAGTTCATTTGAATCCAGGTCTGCTTCGAACCTTGTAGCCACCAGTGACTGCAATCCGAGCTCCGTTGTTCGAGTACCACCAGTTGAAGACCAGCCCACCGTTGGCGCTAAAGATTGGGTCTCCCGGGACGCTGTCCCCATCGAAAGAAGATGGCATGTCCGACCCGACGTGGGTGTCCGAGGCGCTGCCATCTCCCGTCGCATATATCCTCCCTGGGTTCAGGTCGTTGAAGTAATCCTGCATCGGGAAGAACTCGGTGAGCTCCCACGTCTTGGACATCTCGCATGCACCGTTCGAGTGTCGAGCGATCGTGATGTACTTCACTGGGGTGGTCCCCACAGTGCTGTCGACGAAATCGTTTGTAAGGGCTGTGGCAGCGCTTCCAGTACTGCTGGCCCAGGGCCCAGCGTACCCCATGTTCGCACCATCGCAAGGGTTGACGTTTGCAAACAGCATCCAGGGGTGCTGGGACGTCGGAGCTGGCGTCGGAGGATACGTCGGGCTGGGCGTCGGGCTGGGCGTCGGGAAGGCCGTCGGGTAGGCCGTCGGGTAGGCCGTCGGGTATGACGTCGGGTAGGGCGTCGGGAAGGGCGTAGGGTAGGGCGTCGGGCTGGGCGTCGCGGCTGTGCACGCCTGGATATTCGTGACATAGTGCCAATTGGTAGAAGCACCTGTTCTTGCAGTAAAGGCTATCTGCTGACTGCCAACGGGTGATGAGTAACTACCAATCGTGGCAGTTCTGTAGTAGGATCCTTCGTCAAAATTCAGTATCACACTCGCGCCGCTGCCGCTGGGCGTGACCTCCACAACGACATCGTGCCAGGTAGAATCCTCGAAGAAAAGAACGCTGTCGTCCGCCCAGTGGCCCGAGCCGATCTGCTGAAAGATGGACCCTCCGTTCCAGCCCATCACCACGCCGTGGTCGTCGCCGTGGACGTGGTCTCCAGGGGCGTCACCACTCTTGTAGGAGTCGAAGCACACGGAGAAGCCTTTGTCGGGAGCGGCCAAGAGGGGGGTGTCCAAGAGGGGGGGGGGGGGGGGGCAAATCATGACCGGCGGCATGTGAGCGGCCCAGCGGGGAGGCCAGGGACGTAATGAAACAAGAAGAGGCGCCATGAAATCTGGGGAAAAATCATCGCCCCCGCCATGATATCCGCCCCCCCTAGTCATCACCCCCTCTTTTCCGCCCCCGAGCCTTGGGGAGCAATGTTCTCGCCCGCCTCGCCGGAGTCAGAACCGCCGTACTTCATGCACAGGCCGTCGGCGCCTCCGGAGGACACGGCATCTGGGTGGCCAGGCTTCGCGCGTCGGGCCCCGCAGTTTTTACAAAGGAGGAGGAGGAGGAGGAGGAGGAGGAGGAGGAGGGCGAGGACGAGAAGGAGGAGGAGGAGGAGGAGGAGGAGGAGGAGGAGGGGGAGGACGAGGAGGAGGAGGAGGGAGACGAGGAGGAGGAGGAGGAGGAGGAGGAGGAGGAGGAGGAGGAGGAGGGCGAGGAGGGAGAGGAGGGAGAGGAGGAGGGACGGACGAGGAGGAGCCGGAGTAGCCCCCGCGCCCTCGCGCCGTCCCCTCGGAGAGGAGGGCAACCCCGCGCTGCCTCAGACCGCGACCCGCGGCGCGCGAGGCGCGAGCCTCTGCGCGCCCCGGCGGGCGGCTCGCGCGCAGCCCTCTCTTTCAGTCGGGCCCGTCCCTCGACAGGGGGACGATTCCAAAATAGCCCACAAACAGTCGGGGGACGACGCTTTGACCATTTCTGGGCATCCTGGGGCCATCCTTGGACGACTCTCAACGTTTCGCCCGACATCCCCCTGTAGGGGGACGGGCCTGACCTGACCCTATCTGGGCAGGGCAAGACCGCTCGGGCTCGGACCGCGACGTGCGAAGCGCGCTCCGCTCCGCGCCCCCGGCCGCCGTCCTCCTGCAGCTCCCGCTGCGGGAAAAGCGCGGGGGGGGGCTCGCCCTGGCACCCAGCCCAACTGCCGACGGCACGCAGAGAAGGTTCCCGCTCCTGCTCCTGTTCCTGCTCCTGCTCCTGCTCCTCCTCCTCCTCCTCCTCCTGCTCCTGCTCCTGCTCCTGCAAAGGAGAGACAAGCAAACGAGGACGAGCGCGCAGGCGGGAGGCCGGGGCCGCCGGGACGAGGCAGGCAGGCAGGCGGGCAAGGGGCTTCGCGCCCCCTGCCGGTGACCGAGGGTACAGTCGTAGGGGAACGGAGAGTGATATGAGCACAAAAACTCGGAGGTCCCCCTGCCTGGCGCGCGGAGCGCGCCAGGGTCGGCGCCAGTGGCGCCGCCAGGAATGCCCAGCGCGGATCCGAGAAATCCGCGCGGACCTCCGAGTTTTCAGGTTTATGTCATTGTTCGCCCCCCTGAGTCAACCCGTATAATAAGGACGCACGATATGGATGAAAGGGCCTTGGAGGGCCATGTCGACACTCTGCGAGCGGGGCGCGGCCAGCGAAAGCGGCCAAGGTTGGGCCGAAGGGGAAGGAAGCAAGGGCAACCTTGGAAAATCGCACATCCTAACTATTCGGGTTGACTGTCTTGTCCTCTCCCGAAGAGCGCGCATTTCTTGATTCGCGGCCAGAACGGGCGCTATATGGGGGGGAGGGGGGGGGGTAACAGGGGGGAGCGGGCAGAATGTAACGCCCCCCCCCCGACTGTGGTGCTGGACGCACCGCAATAGTGCCAGGGACGCACTGACGTGGGGGAACGTTACGCTATGGGGGGAAGGGGGGCATGACGCGCGTTACGGCCCAGAGGAGAAACCATGCTCGAAGAGTGTTACGGGTATGACGGGGAAATGAGGCAAGGGCAAACTTGGAAAGTCGCTCGTCCGAGCTGTGGGGTTGACCGTGGCCGTGCTGTGCTGTCTCCCGAAGATGTACGGTGTTGCCGGCGGCTCGGCGACGGGAACCGAGGATGATGCCAGCATGAGACACAGTGGGGGGCGGGAGCGAGATAAAGCAAAGGGGTGGAAACACAAGATGACGAGCCCTCCCTCACATGTGGGTTCTTGGAGGGAACCATTCTGTCACAGAGGTGACTCTGCAACAAATCACCGTGAGAGACCCAAGAAAAAGGGGACCAAAACTGTCCAACCCCTCGTCTCGGTTTTTGGATTGCAGTGGAGGCCGACCACAAGAAACCTCCCACGAGGAACCCAACGCGGAGACCCCAAGAGAACGTACCACTGACCTTGGTGGGGAACGCCACGAATTCCACCGCAAAACCAGCAAAACCATGGAAGACCAAGAAACCCAGAACCAGAACACCCTGGAGGCAAAGCAGGGTGTCTCTCGGCTATGGGCCCCCACCAAGGAGAAGGGGGGGGGGGGGAAAGGGGGTAGGAGGAGGAGTAGGGACGAAAGGGGGATGGGAGCCGGGCGGGGAGGAGGGAGGAGGAGGAGGAGGAGGAGGAGGGGAGGAGAAACGACGAGGAGGAGGAGGGAGGAGGACCGCGGAGGTGGAGGAGGAGAGGGAGAGGAGGATAGGAGGAGGAGGAGGAGAAGAGCGAGAAGGAGGAGGAGGAGGAGGAGGAGGAGGGCGGAGAGGAGGAGGGGGAGGGGAGGAGGAGGACGACGACGAGCGAGGAGGGTGGAGGAGGGAGGAGGAGGAGGAGGAGGAGGAGGAGGAGGAGGAGAACCTAGCCCTGGACGCCGCTGGGCAGGCGCAGAGACGGTGGCACCAGGGCCTCGGGGGGCGACGAGAAGGGCAAAGAGCACAAGTGAAGGGGCCCTGGGACACACAAATAAATACGCACAAACAACAGGAGTCCCTATACTTTCCCACATGTTCTGGATTTTGGCCTTCCCCCCCACTTCCCATACTTCCCCATATTTTTCGGGGAAGCGACGGTTAATTGTGTCTGTGTTTTCTCCCTCCTGAACGAGGGATAAGTCAATACAATGGGGGCCGGTCCACAAGAAACCGTCCACAAGAAACCCAGCCCGGAGACCCCAGGAGACGTCCATCGTTCTTGGGCGCAGGAGCACCACGCTTGCCACGTCAACGCCGTCGAGAGCCAAGAAACACAGGGCAACTCGGAGGCACGCAGAGTGTTTCTTGGCATGGGTCCCCACTGTACGTGCATCCAGGGTTATGTTGCTCCCATCGTATTTGAGGACCACATCCCAGAAATACTTTCGAGCACCCATAAAAGTGTCGAAAGAGTGTTGAAACAGTGTCGGGCGAGTGTCGCCCAGGGCCCGACACGTGGAAACCCTCGAGCTTCGGTACTTTTTGGGGGAGCTCGAAACTCTTCCTGGCGATCAGGGCTAAAGTAGGCTGGAACATCAGAAATCCAGGGGCGGCGATGGTCCATGCCTTCGGCGACGCCTCGAAACATCTGCAGGCTCTGGGGCACGCTCGTCCGCGAAGCGCGAATCACTTCGCGCTCTCGCGCCGCCCCCCCCAGAGGGGAGAAAAGGAGGCCGAGGAGGACGGGGAGGAGGAACGGGGACCGCGAGGACCACGAAGCGCGAATGACCTCGCGCCCTCGTGGGAGCCCTTGCCTCTGCAGGCTTTGGGGCGCGCTCGCCCCGACGCCCGGCCCGGCGGCCCGCGGCGGGCGACGGTGCCTCCAGGAGGGCCTCCACGGCGGCGCCCGAAGTGCGGCCCTCAGGGCGCCGCGGACGGCCCGGGAGGGTCTCGTCAGGCTCCGCAGTGGCTCCACGAGGGCTCCCAACGTCGCGCTTCGCGCTGCGCGGGAGCGCGAGCACCTTCGCGCTCTCGCGCCGCCCCCCCCCAGAGGGGAGAAAAGGAGGACGAGGAGGAGGGGGAGGAGGAACGGGGACCGCGAGGACCGCGAAGCGCGAATGACCTCGCGCCCTCGAGGGCGCCCTTGGGTTCCCTCCGTGACCCCCGCGAGGGCCCCGACAAGCGAGTCGAGAACACTAGACAGTGGGAGCCCGGCCACGGAGACCTGCCACGAGAAGCCTGGCCCCGAGACCCCCGGGGCGTTCCCTGCTCCCTGGGCGCGGGAGCGCCACGCTCTCCACGAGGAGCAGAGCCATCGGAACCCGAGAAACCCTCGGGGGCGTCCAAGGGGGGGGGGGGCGTCCAAGTGGGGGGGGAGCAAATCTTGGCCGGCGGCATGTGCGCGGCCCTGGGGGGCGTCCAAGAGGGAGGGATGGGGGGCGGTTCAAGAGGGGGGAGAGGGGGGGGAGCTGCAATCGTGGCGGCGGCCATGTGCGGCGTCCAAGAGGGGGGGAGCAGGATCGTGGCAGGGGTGCGGCATGGGCGCGGCCCTGGGGGGGGGGGGGGCCATGGACGTACTGGAATAAGAGGGAAGCCGGGCGCCATGAAATCAGGGAGACCTCATGACAGCGACCATGACCCCACCACGATATCCCCCCCCCACCCCTACGTAGTCACCCCCTCTGGGCCGCCCCCGACACCCAAGGGCACCCTGGAGGCAAGCGGGGTGCTTCTTGGCATGGGCTCCCGGCGTGTTGCTCCCCCCGCGGCTCTGCGCCCCCTGCCGTCTGAGGGGCAACGATCGGGGGGGGACTGGCGCGAGGGGGGGATGCATCAACCTGGGATCGGCGATACGTCGCCGATAGATCGGCGACAGGCCCCCGATCGCGAATCCGCCCCTTCCGGGGCAGGTTGGGGCTATCGGGTCCCTATCGTTAGGTCGGGCATGTCCCCCTACAGGCGGGCTTTGGACGAAGAATCGAAAATGCCCCCCAAAAAACTAGTCAACAAATAGTCGAAAAGTCGACCCCAGACTATATGTTTTGCCTATGTTTGATTACTCCTCCTGTAGAAGGGAATGCGGGAATGCCCGACCTGATCCTATCGGTGATCAGTGGGCGATGGGGGGTCGATGTATCCCCCCCTATGCCTCTCTCCCCCCTGTCGTTGCCCCTGACCGTCGCCCCCGAGCGCCAGTGCACTCGAGAGCTCGAGGGGGCCGTGCGGCCGGAGACCCAGACGTCCGACGACGTGACTTCTGTTCCGCGCGCAGCCCCAGGAAGGAACCCCTCCTCCTCCTCCTCCTCCTCCTCCTCCTCCTCCTCCTCCTCCTCCTCCTCCTCCTCCTCCTCCTCCTCCTCCCTCTCCTCCTCCTCCTCCTCCTCCTCCTCCTCCTCCTCGCCCCTGGCGCGCTCCGCGCGCCAGGGAAGGGGAGTCCGCGCCAATCCGAGGAATCCGCGCGAACCTCCGAGTTTTTGGCATTGCCTGTTCCCCTACAGTGGGCGTGGGGGAGGCTGGATCGCGCGGGGGTGCAGGAATGCGCACGCTGTCCTCCTTGGAGCGCGCGGGGGGGGGATCGCTGGAGCGGGTGGGCGTGGGGGGGCTGAAGCGGGCCGTCCGGCGGCGTGGCGTGGTGGGGGCTACTTGTTGAACGATCTGGGCCAACTAGAAAACCCCTCCCCGCGACAGTGCGGCACCCCCTGCGGGTGGCCATTGCAACGACCCCTCCCCGCGACAGTACCATACCCCCAGCGGTGGACAGCACAGTACCCCCTCCCCGCGACGCGACAATATGATACCCCCTATGGAGGTCAAGGCAATACAATTCATGTCCTCGCGTCTGCGCCTGACCCGCCACCCATCCACATATCGAACTTGATCTTGAATCCTCCCGAATTTGCCCACGTGTAGTATGCCCGACCTGTCTGGGATCCCACATTGTTGGTCACAACGATACTGGTGCCCGATAGGTAGGAATCGTACTGAGTGGTGAAGCTGCTTGCACTGATCGAGGTACAAGACCAAGAGGGATCCGTTTTGCGAATCCTGTGAGCAGCAGGCGGCGGCTGTGGACGTCCCGTCGCGTTAACACTGGAGCCCGCCTTGAGGGAAACTGCGATGGGTAGACTGTGGAGAAGCATCCCCACAGACCACGAGGCCCAGAATATCCTATGGGCTGCCATTCCGCTGAAACGAGCGACGCAGTGGAAATCCGCCGTTGCGTCCCGAGGCGCGAAGTGGAACGTCATCAGGTATGTTCCTGTTCCCTGTGTATGATTGTAAACGCTGCTTAACAAAAACTCAGTGCCTTGGCGTCTGGCGATCTCCAGTCGCTCTCGAAGTGCGTCGTGTGATATGCTCAAAGGCTTCGGGAGCGTGGCTGGGGGTCTGAACCTCGAACGCGAACTAAGATGGCATCAAGGGCCCGTACTGGCGTTCCCTTGGGGGCCTTGTGGGCCGTCCTGGAGGCCCTCGGGGCCGGCCCAGGTGGCCAAATGAATGGAAAGACATGTGCTTTGCTGCTTGATTTGCGTGTGTGCGTGATTGTCCAGCCTGCCAGTCTGAAGAGAGCGCCCAGAACGGCTCACGAGGCTCTCAAAATCGCCCCAGGACGGCCCCAAAGTGGGGCCCAAGAGGCCCCCAATTGGGGCCCAAGAGGCCCCCCAAACGGCCCCAAGAGGCCCCCCAAACGGCCCCAAGAGGTGGGAGACACCAACAGACTTTTTGGACCCTCAACCACAAGGTGCCCCTAGACCGCCCCCAGGCCCCGAAGGGGCGCCCAGGCCCCGAGAGGCCTCCGAGACGACACAGAGAAACCTCCAAGAGGCCCCACGAGAGGCCTCTCGAGTGACCACAGTACGGAGGGTGCGGAGGGTGCGGACCCGACCCTACAGTGCGGGCGCGGTCGCAAGAAACCTTCGCAAGAAACCCAACCCTGAAAACCCGCACGCGAGGTACAGTTGAGGGGAAACCAGGAGGACCCTGAACGCAGCAGCCTCTCAACGGCCGAGGGAAGCCACCGCGCAGCGCGCCGATCGGAGGGTACCCTGGCGAATAGCACCTGGTGTCTTGATGCGCGCCTCCACTGTACACCCTGCGAAATGCTTAAGACATCATGGGTTGCGAAATTCATAGTCCCAGAATCTGGATACAAAAAAACCCGCATTCCTATGGAAATCTCAGGGTTCACATTGAAACACTAAGAATAATCGAGACTCTGGCCGAACACGTAAGTTTTCTTAGGCATCGCCTCCACCGTGTGTGCCCCACAGCGCGCGGCCTCTCCGAGGCCACGCGGGCAGACGCCGAGCGGGCCCGTGGGGGAGCACCGCCCACCATCCCGCCAGAGCAGGCAGGGCTGGCTGGCGACAGCAAATGTGAAGGGGCCCTGGGACACGCAAATAAATACACACAAACAACTGGAGCCCCCAAGAGGCCAGGCAGACCCCCCCAGAGACCACCAAGAGGGCCCACCCAGAGCCATCCACGAGGCCTCCCAAAGTTCCCAAGAAGCTCCCACGAAGCTTCCAAGGGCTCCCAAGACCCCCCAAGAACCCGCGATGGCACAACACGGGCCGGCGGGATGAGCGAAGCGATTCAATAAATACACACAAACAACTGGAGTCCCCATATTCCCCCATAGTTTCTGGGTTTTTGTCTTCCCCCCCACTTCCCACACGTTCCCATATGTTCTGGGGGATCGACGATTCATTGTGTGTGTCTTTCCCTCCTGGACCTGGTCACTAGGGCCAGGCATGGAGCCCCAGTGGGCAAGCGAAGACACCAGCTCATATTTTCTGGGGGATCGACGATCCATTGTGTCTGCGTGTGTGTCTCTCCCTCCTGAACGTGTCATTAAGGCCAAGGATGGAGCCCCCAGCGGGCAAGCGAAGGCACCAGCTCACCCATGGACTGCGACGAGGCCCCAGTGGACTGCAAGGCCCCCAGCGGGAAGAGTGGGTCGAGCCCCCCAATCGGGGAGACGTAAGACTCGGGTACGGGTGACTCGGGTTGGTCCGACGGGGCCATCATAAAAATGGCGAGGCCCAATCTGAAATTTGACGCGAGCTCCCGCTGCAAACATCCCACGAAAACTGGACCGTCAAAATTCAGGACGCGCTCGTCAAAAAAACGTCGGCAAACCCGAGTTCCAGCTTACTCGGGTCTTGCGTTCCCCCGACCCAACATGGCACGACATTGATGTCCCGCCCCAGTACCAGGAGAGCCTAGGATCGAATAGATGAATCGAGTCGTCGATCGAAATTACAATCGGATCGGCGGAAATCGGCAGCCAAGTCGGGAGGAGTCGAATCGGCGGACATCGGCAGATTGGTGGGGCCTCATCGAGACATCGGAGCCCGAATCGGGATCTGAAATCGAATCGGATCGGAATCGGAACACACCGAAATCGGATCGAATCGAATCGGAGGAACTGGCAAAACAGCGGCGACGGAAGCGGTAAACAAACGGCGTCGGAACTGGCAAAAAAACGGCAAAACGGAACCGGCAGACAAACGGCCCTGTCGTTTCCAGGGCCCACGAAGGGCACGACATTCATATTCCGCCTCAGTACCAAGCGGACAACAACAGAAAAACACCGCGCGGCGCGAGAGAGGGCAGCGGATGTCGGCCAGCGCGCGGCCGGCCAGCCGAGCGAGAGCGCCCGCGCGTGGGCAAGCCCGCCGTGGGGCGGTTCCCAGCGCAGGCGGATGTGCGCCAAACGCTAAGCTTTGGTCGGGCATGCCCCCCTACAAGGCGAACTTTGGGCGGAAATTCAAAATACTCCCAAAATGCCCAAACATTGTCAAGCGATTGTCAAAAAATCGTCCCCTGACTGTTCTTTGACTATTTCTGAAGATTTCTTCTGTCGAGGGACACGCCCGACTTAACACTAAGCTCGTCATTCCGACCCCAAGATCGCCCAGACAGAATCCAAGAAGAGCCCAGGATCGCACCAGCATGTCTCCAGGACGGCCCAAGACAGCCCCCAGACGGCCGAAGATGGCCTCAAGACGGCCCCGGGGGCCTCCGAGACGTCCCAAGATGGCTTCTTGAGCTCAGGATGCTACAGGGCAGTTTTGAACACATAGGATTTATAAAATATAGTACATGATCAATGTATGAATAAATGTATGCATGAACTCATCCTTGTTTTTGATACTACATCCCTGCACTTTTGATACATGATCCGCACGGGGAGCATGTATTAAAAACGGCACTGTCGGGCCACTGCTAGTCCTCGAGTGCTTCGATGGCTTCTG